CTCTCCCCCCCCCCCCCCCCCCGCCCCAAACTCCTTCTGTGAAGCCTTCTCTAACCTCCTCCTCCCCCTGCTTAGGGGTTCTGAAGGATCACAACTAGACTTCAGCTATGAATTTTCACACCACATCTCTACTTATTTGTACTCCATTAGTGTGTAAATTCCAGTGTGAGGACCCTGTATCTATCTTGTATTAATTCCTCCACTCCTTTGGCAGGGCCTACATCATGGCTGGAGATTTGGTACATGTATCTTCCTCAGTTCAGAATGTATGAATTAATAAGATGGCTCAGGCCTGGCAGTTGTGAGGCCAACAGTTGGTGGTGGTGGTGGTTTTTTGGTCAAGGTGTCATTCCTGAGCTTTCTGACATAAGTCTTTTGGGGTAGGCCCTCAACTCCACCTTTTGGCCTTTTAGATAGTTTACCTTCTTCACAGCCCCTCATATCTGACCAAATCTCCCTCATCCAAGCCTCCTGTAACCTACTCGCAGACACAGCCCTCATGCTTCAGAAACAGAGGTGCCCAGGAAATAGATATTGAATGACATTTACTGATTAAATGAAGAGGGGACATTACAAAGAACATACTTCAAGTAAAATGAAGGCAAATAGATGACAGGAGACAGTCGAGGTTTCCAGGGCAAGTTTTTCTCTCTGGTGACAACTGGATCCCCCCCAGGACCACTTCAATCCAGGAGTCCCTTTGATTGCCAACACCTCCTCAGAACCTACTGCTTCCATACCTTCTGGTGCAAGCCTTTTCCATTCTTTCTGTCTGACTCAGCCTAAAGCCTTGCCTCAATTTTCAACTCTTCTCTTGCCATGATCCTTAGGCCCTACAAAACCATCCTGGCTCAATGACTGTTTCTGTTCCTAGGGCTCCAAAGTCAAGGTCACCCACCTCAGTTTGTAATGTCATCAGGGTGAGTTGGTAGGTTTTTCAGAGCTCAGATCTTCCTACTCTCCCATACCCTGCAGCCAAGGTCTCAGGGCCTCACACCTCCTTTTATTTGCTGTTCACCTCCACCTCTCTTTGTTAGCCTGGTCTCTCAGGTACCCACCTCATAAAAAGAAAATTGTGAGGTGGTTGGGTAGGGTTACCCTCAACTTTAGGCCCTTCCCCACCCAACAGCATCAACTCCATATATGGTCTTATTATTTATTCATTCTTGGGGTACAATAGGAAAAACAGGATTTGGAAATCAGGCAGATCTAAGTTTGTAACTCAGTACCCCAGTTCCTAGCTGAGTAATTTGGGATAAGTCTCTTCCTTCCTTTGGGATTCAGTTTTCTCACCTGTAAGAAATGATAGTACCTTTCTCCTCATTCTCACAGGGCTGTTAAGAGGAAGAGAGCTACCACATATTAGATATTCTTATATTTCCTTTCTTTTTTTTTCTTTTTCTTTTTTCTTTATTTTAAAGGTGTGGGGTACAATTCAGGGTTAGGTATACAAATGTACATTATGCAGGTACCCTTGTTGATGAGGTGTGCCCCTCCCTCCCCTGGCAGTTTCTCTCAACTGCCAATCCCCCCTCCCCAGCAGTTTCCTACTACTGCCAATCCCTTTCTTATAGTATTACATATTAGATATTCTAAGGCAAGCTTCCTTTCTCTTCACCTTCAACCTCCTCATACTGGCTCCTCCCTCTCAACCAACTTAGGAAACAAAACAAAACAAAAAACAACTATTGTCCTTTCTCCCACTCTAGCTACCTTTCTCTCAATCTCTTCCTTCTTCACAAAACTTATCCAAAGAGTTGTCTACTGTCTACTTCTTTACCTTCCATTCACTTTTCTATTCTCTGCAGTCTGGTTCCACCTACTCTCAATCACCCACCAAGAAAGCTCTTCAAAGGTCATCCTTGGGGCTAAACTTAGTGGATGTTTCTCAGATCTTTTCATCCCTGACTTTTCTGAGACATCTGTCCTTACTGAGCACTCATTCCTAGAAACACCTTCCTCAGCTTCCTAGCCAGCACATTCTCCCCTGTACTATTTGTTTCCCCCTTGTTCTTTACTCCATTCTTTTCTCTCTAGTCCCAGATCTTTAGCTCTCATCTTTATTCTGATGATTTTGAGCCTATCTCTCCAAGCCCTCCAGGTCTTTCTTCAGCTCCAGGCATGTATCCACTGAGTTTCTTCAGGCACTTTAAAAACAGCAGTATGTTACCACCATCACCACCACCACTACCAAACTTGATGAATATCTCAGTTCCCACCTGGTCAGCCAAACTAAAAACCCAAAACACATCTCAGTGCTCTAACCTCTGTCCCACTCCCTTCCAAATATCATCAAGTCCTGTGAATTTTATCTCCTGAAACCTCTCCGGGCCATCTGTTGCCCTCAGGGCCTATCTCCATTGACAGTGCTTTATCTAGCTCCCCCCACCCTCCCCCCACCCCCTGCAAGTCTTTTGCCTCAACTGTTGCAGTAGTCTCCTAGGTAGCTTTCCTTTTCAATATTTTCTCCACATTGTGGCTAACATAAACATTTAAAAATACAGGCTGACACTGAGATACCACCTAACTCCAGTCAGAATGGCAATTATCAACAACTCAAAAAATAA